TCTCTAGCCTGTGCTGCGCCCGTTTAGCCCCATCTATCCGGCTGAACAGAAGCTGCTTGGGCATGCGTTGGCTGGGCATAGGGGCTGCATGGCCCAGCCAACGCAGCCTCGACTGCTGGAGGAGCTCACTGATGGGACAGTGTCCAGATCATTCAAGGATCTGTTAACTCATCACATAATCCAGTCTGGTTAAACCCAGGATGGATCGTAGGCAGGCTAACCTGAATGTTTCAAACCTGCGCAGATGTTCAGAGTCAGAATATTTATTTATACTGGAGCAATCCGATGAGCTATGAAGCTCCTTTTACAGATGTCCAGTTGGAGCAGGTCAGAACGTTACAGCAATACAAAAACACAATAGGAGTGCAACGTATTGGAAAGGTAAACAAATTATACACAAAAAACAAAACTATTTTATTTTACCAGGTACTGTACAGGCCATTGAGCTATTAGCGTCTTCTTCAGACGTCACTTGGCCACAAATTATAGCTCAACAAAGTGGCCTATCATGTGGACATGTATAGCAGCCAAAAAATATAGTAATAGGTTTTTACCCTTTTATCTGGCACAAAAACTGACACCTTTTATACAAGGGATCATGTTTGCAATAACCACAACACAAGTAGTCAAAATGCAAACAAAAAAGACAACTGTGATAATGATATGCACTGTCCTTGAATTTGATTGGTCCACACCCGAGACGGATTTTCTTAGAGCCCAGTCTCCACTGGTGTTGGACCAGATGACGCCTTTTGGTGCCTTTTGGCGTCTTCTGGTCCAACACCAGTGGAAACTAGGCTCTAAGAAAAGCCGTCTCGGGTGTGGACCAATCAAATTCAAGGACAGTGCATATTATTATCAGAGTTGTCTTTTTTTGTTTGCGTTTTGACTGCTTGTGTTGTGGTTATTGCAAACATGATCCCTTGTATAAAGGTGTCAGTTTTTGTGCCAGATAAAAGGGTAAAAACCTATTACTATATCTTGTTACTGGCAAAGGAGGCCTCATAAAGCCAAAAAATATCTAAACGATCTAAACGCATGTTTCTAAATGTGGAGGGGAAAACCGGAGGACCCGGATAAAAAAAAAATTCCACGCGACCACGGGGACAGAGACATGCAAACTCCAAATATACAAGCGTTCGGATTGGGATCGAATCCCCGATCTCCTGCATACCAGGCGAGAAAGATAACATCTCGCCACAGTTTCGCAAGCACAGAGAAGGGAGGCCATAACCGTGGCTTTGTATTTGTCGTGACATCGCTGGATGTCACCATGCTGTGGGTGCAGTACCGGCCCTAGAGGTGCACGGTGTGCGTTGAGTAACATCGCTGGATGGCACCACGCTGTAAGTGAAGTGCCGGCCCTACAGGACACGGTGTGTGGGTGTCGACCTAAGGGGAAGGTCGCGTGAGGTAATGGCACTCTGGTTGACCCGGGAGGACACGTGACCGGTTAAGATGACAGAGGGGCCCCCAAGAGGGGGCTAGGGGGGTCACGTGATTGGGACCCAGGTCCTTCCCGATGGTTCTGGAAGGTGGGCGTGGCCAAGGGTGGAGCCGGCCACGCCACAGAGAATACAAGCCGGGTCCCGAGAGGGATCGGGGTTGTTCATCCTGGGAAAAAAATCCCTTCGTCTACGATCTCCGTCCTACGAGTCTCCCAGCACGTGGACTCAGGCAGATGCTGTTGGTCCCGGTCCGTAGTAACTAGTTACGTGGTAACTAGTGTAGCAACTAGTGTAGTAACTAGTTACGTGGTAACTAGTGTAGTTAGCCGGGTGGTCACCACCCAAGGTTGTCATTGTGTTCAGGGGAAGTGTACTCCGTGTGTTGGAACTAAATGAATGCGCTGCCTCCAAAGTCTACGTCTGCAACTCGGTTGAACCCACGACATCTTGAAGGACAGGCCAAGTAGCTTCCACACAGCCTTACGCAGCTGATGAAAAGAGAATGTCGCTAAACTGATTCTGAGCTGGTGATAAGCACACTGCCCGAGTTGGGCATCTGGCACCAAAACAAAGATCTCCCATATAACCTTAGGGGCCGTCCATAAATGACGCCACGCACCTGGGGGGGGGGGAGTCAGACATTTGTGACGATGTGTGACGAGGGGGGGGGTTGAGAAATGTGACGTCACATCAAAATGCGCAACTTTAAATAAATATAGACAACACGTTCTACTTAATTAAATAGACTTTTTAATGTTTTCTCCTACAACATCAGAGTGCAGCGCCACATTAAATACGCACTACAATGACAATAGTTTAAAGCGATTTGAAGCATGTTTTATATTTGGGGAGGGGGCAGAGCTTTGTGACGTCATATTTGAGGGGGGGGTCTGACTTTGTGTAGCGAAGGGGGGGGGGTCAAAAATCGTCCAAAATCGCGCGACGTCATTTATGGACGGCCCCTTAACAGACTGTGGGGGCAAGTGCTGTTTGTGAGCACCTATAAAGGCCGGCATGGCACAAGAGGGGGTTGGGTAGCCAACACCACACCCGGCCGCCTTTGTCTCCCGCGTGGTAATGTTTACACACCGCGCATTGGATACTCATTTTAGGCTGAGTCGACCTAGGGGATGCCCAGGACCGGTTCAGATAATCGTCACTGGTGATGGCCGCGAGCGGCAATCGAACCCGGGTCGCCGGGTTCTCAGCGTAGTGCGCGAACCACGACACTACCGCTCCCCATATCTGCCACCACCGCTACCACGACCAACCACGGGGAGGATGGAGGTACGCGTTGCCCCGTAAATTCTCCTCCTCCCTTACCCCCCCCTCCTCTCTCTCTCATCACCCTCCCTTATTCTCGCTCCCCCCCTCCCCCATGCGATACACGCCCCCTGCATTCCCCTCTCCTCCTCCCTCTCCCTCCTCCCTCCCTCTCCTACCTCTCCTCTTTCTCCTCTCCCTCCCGCTCCCTCCCTCCCTCTCCTCCCTCCTCCCTCCCTCTCCTCTTTCTCCCCTCCCTCCATCTCCTCCCCTCTCCTCCCTCTCTTTTTTTACGATCAGAAGAAACGAGAAGATGCTCGGTGTCGTCGGCACTTTGCTTCGTTCATCATTTTTTTGTGTTTTTTTTTCTAAATGCTTTGCTTTATGTGCCTCCCCCTCCCCTTTTAATGAAATATTTCACGCGCTGCTCTCCTCCTTCTTACCCCTTCCTCTCTCTCTACCCCCCTCTCTCTCTACCCCCCTCTCTCTCTCTACCCCCTCTCTCCCTACTCTATGTCTATGTTCCCCCTGTTTTCTATGTATTTTTTATAACTACGACAAGTGCTGCATCTGCACCCCGCCCGTCTCGCAGTCCTACGGCCTCCGACGGGTAGCTCAGATCTGCATGCAGAGCTCTCCGTCATCTGCCACCGAGCACACGGCCTCCTCCAGCGCCCACTGCTCCTTGAAGGCCGGCACGGCGTGGGTCAGCCGCACACGGCGGAACTCCAGCCCACACACCCTGGCTCCGACCAGAGCGCGGAAGATGCCCAGGCTGCTGGCTGGACGTTGCCCCTCCAGGGCCACCTTCCTCGCCCTGTACACGGCGAGCTTGACGTAGCCGAAGAGCACGTTGACCGGCCCCTGAAGATGTTGGGGTCCGTCGCCCTTCAGGTATCCAAAGATGAGGACCGTCGGGGAGAAGTGGAGGCTGAACCTTAGGAGGATGTTTCTCAGGACCTTGAACAACGAGTCCAGGCTCTTGAACTCCACGTATTGGTGCGCCACCATCTCCACTTTACCGCAGAACCGGCACTCCGGGGACGTGTCGGTGAAGCGCGCCAGGGAGGCGTTGGTGGTGACGGTGCCGTGGGCGATGTTCCAGCTGAGGTCCTCTCCTCCCTCCCTCTCCTCCCCCTCCTCTCCCCCTCTCCTCCCTCCCCCTCTCCTCTCCTCCCTCCCCTCCCTCCCCCCTCTCCTCCCTCCTCCCCTCCCTCCTCTCCTCCCTCCCTCCCTCCCCCTCTCCTCCCTCCCCCCTCTCCTTCCTCCTCCTCTCTTCTCTCCCCCCTCCCTCTCCTCTCTTTTTTAACGATCAGAGGAAACAAGAAGATGCTCGGTGTAGTCGGCACTTTGCTTCGTTCATCATTTCTCCTTCCCTCTCTCTCTCTCTACCCCCTCTCTCCCTACTCTATTTCTATGTTCCCCCGTTTCCTCTCCTCTCCATCCCCCCTCCCTCCCCCCTCCCTCTCCCCTCCCTCTCCATCCCCCCTCCCTCCCCCCTCCCTCTCCTCCCCCCCCTCCCTCTCCCCCCCTCCCTCTCCTCCCCCCCCTCCCTCTCCCCCCTCCCTCTCTTCCCCCCTCCCCCCTCCCTCCCCCCTCCCTCTCCCCCCCTCCCTCTCCTCCCCCCCTCCCGCTCCTCCCCCCCTCCCTCTCCTCCCCCCTCCCTCTCCTCCCCTCCCCCCCTCCCTCTCCTCCCCCCCCTCCCTCTCCTCCCCCCCCTCCCTCTCCTCCCCCCCTCCCTCTCCTCCACCCCCCTCCCTCTCCTCCCCCCCTCCCTCTCCTCCCCCCCTCCCTCTCCTCCCCCCCCTCCCTCCCCCCCTCCCTCTCCTCCCCCCTCCCTCTCCTCCCCTCCCCCCCTCCCTCTCCTCCCCCCCTCCCTCTCCTCCCCCCCTCCCTCTCCTCCCCCCCCCTCCCTCTCCTCCCCCCCTCCCTCTCCTTCCCCCCTCCCTCTCCTCCCCCCCCTCTCCTCCCCCCCCTCCCTCTCCCCCCCTCCCTCTCCCCCCCCCTCCCTCTCCCCCCCCCCTCCCTCTCCTCCCCCCCCTCCCTCTCCTCCACCCCCCTCCCTCTCCTCCCCCCCCCTCCCTCTCCTCCCCCCTCCCTCTCCCCCCCTCCCTCCCCGCCTCCCTCTCCTCCCCCCCTCCCTCTCCTCCCCCCCTCCCTCTCCTCCCCCCCTCCCTCTCCTACCCCTCCTCTCCCTCTCTCTGTTTTTCTTCCTCCTCCCTCTCTCTCCTCCCCCACTCTCCTTTCCCTCCCCCCTCCCTCTCCTCTCCCTCCAGCCTCCCTCCCCCTCCTCTCCTTTCTCCCTCCTCCCTCTCTCACTCACGCGTCCCGCACCATTTCCACACAGACGCACGTACGCACGCCTCATCCTCGCGTCTTCCTCTCGTCTTCCCTGTTGATATAAAAAGAACCCCCCCCGCCCCCCACGAACGACGCCACCACCCCGCCACCCACAGTAGCCATCGCCTGCAGCATCACCATCACCACCACGGAATTGCAGCATCTCGCACGGACGCCGGAGCGGCCACAGAGACGGAGGAGACACAGAGAGGGGGGAGAGAGACGGACCGGAGGCAGCCAAAGGCGACTGCTGTCGGGGCTGCTGCGTGAGAGAGAGAGTGCGGCTGAGAGTCGGTGTGCCTCTTGTCTGCAACCATCGAGTGAGAACACACGCGGACACACACAACTAGACACACACATACACACCGTGTGGGCTTCACACAGCTGTTCATGTGTATAGAACACTCTTACCATAGACACACACAACCAGTCACACACACACACCGTGTGAGCTATACACAATTGTTCATGTGTATAGAACACTCTTACCATAGACCCACACAACCAGTCACACACACACCGTGTGAGCTATACACAATTGTTCATGTGTATAGAACACTCTTACCATAGACACACACAACCAGACACACACCGTGTGAGCTTCACACAACTGTTCATGTGTATAGAACACTCTTACCATAGACACACACAACCAGACACACACACACCGTGTGAGCTATACACAATTGTTCATGTGTATAGAACACTCTTACCATAGACACACAACCAGACACACACACCGTGTGAGCTATACACAATTGTTCATGTGTATAGAATACTCTTACCATAGACACACACAACCAGTCACACACACACACCGTGTGAGCTATACACAATTGTTCATGTGTATAGAACACTCTTACCATAGACACACAACCAGACGTGCACACAGTGATAAGAGTGCCCGTGCTGTACAGAACTGTTCATATTATACTCTTTGGTTTTTTCGGTAAAGTCACGTAGGTAAAATAATAATAAAATAAATGAAAACAATACAATAAATGAAAACAACTACATTTAGTTGTTTTCATTTATTTTATTTTTATTTTAGCTACGTGACTTTACCGAAAAAAAACAAAGAGTATGAATCCTTCCAGTCACGAAAGCTTCAAATCCGTTCATATTATAGTCAACACTTTACAGGCCGCTATACACAGAGACAGCTTCCACACACTGACACACACGTTGTGTACGTCACATGTAACTGTTCGCATGCACGTTCTATACAGAACCATGCACAATGTGTATGCTGTACAGAACGCACACCTGTCAACCCATTATGAGTGCCTCCCTTATTACAGACCGATTCGGACATTATTGGTCAGCCCGTGCCCTTATATATCTCAACATTCATTCTACAAAGTCCCATCACGAAGGAGAAACATGAACAAATAAGTTTAACACGTAGCAGGCTTTCGCGACCAATATTATTCATAATAAAGGTTTTCGGGTTAGATCGCGTTATTTATAAATGTGTCGTAACCCTCCACCACCCGACGAATTGCCCGATGATGCTGGATGTAATTACCAGCGAAACGTCGTACTCAAGAATTGTAAATGCTGTGGATTCACTCTTCAACACACCGGTGGGCTAAAGTAGTGAACTATTTTGTCTTTTGTCAACGTGACACATTTTTTACTGTTTGGCCGTATCGAGTGGTGGAGGATTACGACACATTTATAAATAACGCGATCTAACCCAAAAACCTTTATTATGAAAAAACAAAAATTGCTTTTTGCCCGTATTGAAACCGATGTACGCCGTATGGACCTGCAAACTCTATTTCCCTGCACAAGAATACAGGGTAAACCGTATGGTTTGATAGGTATGATGACTCTTCATATGCTGTATATCACACTATACATTCCACAATATACAGAACCACTTTACACACGCTGTCTCATGCTATGAAGAACTTAATATATCGCGTATAACAATATATATGAAGTATATATAGTGTAACACTATATAGTGTATATAGTGTAACACTCTATATAGCGATTCATTTTCATAGAGTGTGTATGCTGTACAGAACTGTTCAAATGTATAACACAATATATAGAACTATACAAATCTACACACTACAGTACTATACAATCTACAATATATACACAACCCACAACACGCTGTGTGTACACTATGTAGAAATGTTCATACATACAGAGCTATATACAATACACTAAATACATGCACACAGAGATAGAACCCAATGCAATAACATCTCTCGAAGCAAGATAATAATCTGCCAGAATTCTGGTTAAGCCAGAAGACGATCAGACATCAAGTCAAATTGAAGTAAAAACATCTTCATTTGTACCGTACATTTGCATCTGCCTATGACCACATTTCCCGGAATACGCTGCTTCTCAGATCTCTGATTCTAAGCGGGGATTTTGTGCCTGGCAAGTGCTGGGTTGTTGTGACCAGCCTCCCACAGACAGGCTACAGGGTGAACAGTAGAGAGCAGTGCAGCAAAGCATCCATTGCTGTACGGTACTTCTATGTATCGTGCAACAATGTCAATGCTCCCTTGCATTTACCAACCTACACAGACCGGCATGGTAAAGTTGTGGTCAAATGACCTCTGTGACCCCTGCATGGCTTGGCAAAGCCCTCATCCAGCAGAAGCCATGCAACGATGGCTGTACATCTACAGTGAGGGAAAAAATATTTGATCCCCTGCTGATTTTGTACGTTTGCCCACTAATAAAGAAATGATCAGTCTATAATTTTAATGGTAGCTTTATTTGAACAGAGAGAGACAGAATAACAACAACAAAATCCAGAAAAACGCATGTCAAAAATGTTATAAATTGATTTGCATTTTAATGAGGGAAATAAGTATTTGACCCCCTCTCAATCAGAAAGATTTCTGGCTCCCAGGTGTCTTTTATGCAGGTAACGAGCTGAGATTAGAAGCATACTATTAAAGGGAGTGCTCCTAATCTCAGCTTGTTACGTATATAAAAGACACCTGTCCACAGAAGCAACCAATCAGATTCCAAACTCTCCACCATGGCCAAGACCAAAGAGCTCTCCAAAGATATCAGGGACAAGATTGTAGACCTACAAAAGGCTGGAATGAGCTACAAAACCATTGCCAAGCAGCTTGGTGAGAAGGTGACAACAGTTGGTGCGATTATTCGCAAATGGAAGAAACAAAAGAACTGTCAATCTCCCTCGGCCTGGGGCTCCATGCAAGATCTCACCTCGTGGAGTTGCAATGATCATGAGAACGGTGAGGAATCAGCCCAGAACTACACGGGAGGATCTTGTCAATGATTGCAAGGCAGCTGGGACCATAGTCACCAAGAAAACAATTGGTAACACACTACGCCGTTAAGGACTGAAATCCTGCAGCGCCCGCAAGGTCCCCCTGCTCAAGAAAGCACATATACATGCCCGTCTGAAGTTTGCTAATGAACATCTGAATGATTCAGAGGACAACTGGGTGAAAGTGTTGTGGTCAGATGAGACCAAAATGGAGCTGTTTGGCATCAACTCAACTCGCCGTGTTTGGAGGAGGAATGCTGCCTGCAATAATTGCAAATTCATTAATCCCTAAGAATGAACAACACCAAATTAAGCCAAGGGCCTCAAAACCACCTAGACTGTATGGGCTACCAAAGATTCATGAAATCGGCATCCCATTACGACCCATAGTCAGTACAATTGGCTCTGCCACTTATAAATTAGCAAAATATATAACTAAACAAATACAGCCCTACATCGGTAGGACATCTTCATTCATAAGAAATTCAGAACATCTTGTGAATGTGATTCAAGATATCAAACTTAATCCTAATGATATTCTGGTAAGTTTTGATGTGATTTCTCTATTCACTAAGGTTCCAGTGAATGAATCGCTTAAATTACTTGATACACTCGTAAAGAATACAGGTTTACCAAAATATATTCCGAAACTTGCTGACCATTGTTTAAATAACACTTACTTCTTATGGAGAGGGGATTTCTTTAAACAAAAGGAAGGAGCAGCAATGGGCTCTCCTTTATCTCCTGCGATAGCAAATCTGTACATGGAAAACTTTGAAATAAGAGCACTTGCCTCGAGCACATTAAAACCATCTTTTTGGTTTAGATGTGGATGCCATTTTGGTTGTCTGGCCACATGGTAAAGATACACTTAATGATTTTCTAAATAATCTCAATACACAAAACCCGGCCATCCAGTTCACCATGGAAATGGAGGTGAATAACACACTCCCGTTCCTGGATATTTTGCTTGGACATGGCATAAACGGTAAAATAATACAGCGTTTACAGAAAGCAAACGCACACTGATGCCAATCTGAATGCAGATTCGCATCATCATCCAGCTCAGAAATCCTCTGTTATCAAGATGCTCATACATCGGGCTAAAACAGTGTAAGATGGTGAAAGTCTAGTGAGAGAGATCAAACACGTTAAAGAGCATTACGACAGAATGTCTACAATAATACTCAAATTAACAGAGCACTGAATTCCAAATCACGATCACAAAGCAACACTGCTGAAAGCGATCAGATGCTTAAAACAATTCAAATTCCATATATCTCAGGGGTAACTGAAAAATTCGCCCGTGTTTTGCAAAAGCAAAACATTACAGTAAGATTTGGTACGGTACACAAAATTCCAAAACTAGTATCTTGCACTAAAGACGAATTACCTAAATTATCAACAGAAGGTGTATATCTGATTAATTGTTTATGTGGCAGATGCTATATTGGACAGATGGGACATAACATCAGCATAAGACTAAAAGAACACCAAAGAAATATTAAATTATCTAAAACACATATGTTGGCAGTGGCAGAACATGCTTGTCAACAAGGACACTCAATTGATTTTGATAACGTTGAAGTGTTGTGTAAAACTAATTATTACTGGCAAAGACTAATTAGAAAATCCATTGAAATTGAGAGAAACAGAAATAACGTTAATCGTTCTGATAGCTATAGGCTTAGTGCGGCTTGGAAGTGTATTATTAAATAATACATATTACAATTCCTTATAGGGGAAACATTAATTAATGGATTACTAATGTAGCATGTAATCACAATAACACACATTACAACTAATTACTAATCTAGAACTCATTACTAATCATAACCATTGACTGATTACCAATCGATTATATAATTACAATACCCCCCCTCCGCCTCAAATCACTGCACCTGAAATGAGTTAAATGATGACGCCACCCTGCTGCTCTATTTAAGACCGAGAGCAAGTGAGGGCTTTACCTGGCGAATTGCCCGATGATGCTGGATGTAATTACCAGCGAAACGTCGTACTCAAACTGTAAATGTTGTGGATTCA